TGAGCTCTGCAAATTGGTCTGTGCTGCTTATCTCCGCAGTGTCCTGGGTCACGACGGCTGAAAGCCAGTCCTGCATGCCTGCCTGCCTTAGGCTTTCCCCTCTGTTTAAGTCTCTCACTTATACCTCATAATATGCTGCTACACTTCTCAGCTTCTTCCCTGAAGAGAAATTGAGATTAATTACAACTTCCTATCAAGATCTATGAATTTTTAAATGTGTCATCTAAATGAAATGTAACAAGTCCCCAGAGTACATGGCTAGTGTTTATGAAAAGCACTCATCAAAAGTATAATTGTTCCGTGTAAATGGCCCTACTACAACTTCTAATTGTATGCTACACTTTTTTTTTTTTTTAAGATTTTATTTATTTATTTGACAGAGACACAGCGAGAGAGGGAACAGAAGCAGGGGGAGTGGGAGAGGGAGAAGCAGGCTTCCCGCCGAGCAGGGAGCCCGATGCGGGGCTCGATCCCAGGACCCTGGGATCATGACCTGAGCCGAAGGCAGACACTTAACGACTGAGCCACCCAGGCGCCCCCTGTATGCTACACTTTTAAAAAAAACACACTTTTCTGGAAAATTAACAGTGTACTACAAACCATAACTACAATAGGCCTTCTTTGCTCTGCTTGAGTTGTATCTTTATTATTTCCTAAGTCCCATTCTCCCACTTTGCAATCCAAGCAGAAATTCTCTAACCACATTAGGCATTCAGGAAAGCTCAAGCAGTCCACAAAGCCTCCAGGGATGATTCCCTCCCTCCAGAGATTGTCCAGAAGGGGAAACTCACTGTTGACAAGCGAAAAGACTTCTCTCCCCTGGAAATGCCAAGGGATAGAATAAGAAAGATGTGCTTTCAAGGCACACAATACTCTGCTCCAAGATAAGGCTCCAGTAAGCCTGGAGCACAGCATTAAGAAGTCATATTCCTCTAAAAGCACATAGGCAATCTCTCATCACCCTTCACCGTTGACCGTTGGAAATATCATTGCAAATGCTAGAGATAACACAGAAGGACAGAATGATGAACTGTCAGAAGTACTAGCTCCCTCTCCCAAGACTGACCCCCAAGTATGTAAACAAGGAAAACTGTGAGGAATCCTTGATGGGGGAAGTGCTTCGAACTGGTGTGTGCAGGGGATGGTGGCTTTGGCCTGGAACAGGAAGCAGCCCAGCAGGAGATAACATAAGGAAATGGGAAATGTTGTTCTGCTTTTCTCCTCTGCCACTATCTTGGAACAAATTGTCCCCATTCCGTTGCTGAAGTGACTCCGATCCACTGGTTGCTAGAGCTGGTATGATGGCTCCGTAGCGAGTTGTTGTATTTTCAGGAATCTTGCAAGCCGGTTTTTAAATACAGCCGTTATTAAAAATTAAATTATACGAGCTAACAAATAAGTTACATTAAAAACAAAGGCAACACTCATGTTCATAGTAGCATAATTCACTGTAGCCAGAAGGTAGGGTGTCCATCCAGAGATAATGAATAAACAAAATGGGGTATATATACACAATGGAATACTATTCAGTCGTAAAAAGGAAGTAAATTTTGACACACGCCACAAAATGCATGAATTTTAAGGACATTATGCTGTTATATAGGATTTCCTTCTCCTTTAGTTCCGTGGTTCTTGGTCACACTGCTTCGAAGAATGAAGAGGTCGACCAGATGAAGAGTGGTGGGCGGCAAAGCAAAGTTTATTGAGCGATAATAAAGTGATAGTACAAAGCTCCCAAAGAGGGAGGGTATCTGAGAGGGGTTACCACTAGAGTTTCTAAGTCTAGGGGGTTTTATGGGCTTGTTGGTGGGCTGTTTTAATCTGATTAACCCTGCACCTGTCATCCAATCAGGTTTTTGTCATCTATCTATCACGTGGGAAAGGGTGGAGGGCTCCTTCCAGGGCAGTGTAAAATCCTTTTAAGGGTGTTTTCCTCTTAGGGCCGGGGCCGGGGGCGGGGGGACAGGGGCTTGTCCCTGCCTGCCTTTCTTCCAGCTATCCTTCAACATTAAGTGTAATAAGCCAAAAAAAAAAAAAAAGTGTAGTAAGCCAGACTCAAAAAGACAAATACTGTATGATTCCATTTATATGAGATACCAAAAGTAGTCAAATTCATAGACAAAGGAGATGGAATGGGGGTTGCCAGGGATTGAGGCTAGGAGGAGTGGGGAGTTATTTAATAGGTACAGAGTTTCAGTTTTTTGCAAGGTAAAAATTCTGGAGGTACTTTCACAACATTGTGAATAAACAACAATACTGAACTGTACATTGAAAAATGGTTAAGATAGTAAATTTTATGTTACATGTATTTACCACAATTAAAAGTAAATTTAGGGGCAACTGGGTGGTTCCGTCAGTTAAGCTTCTGACTCTTGTTTTCAGCTCAGGTCATGATCTCAGGGTTGTGAGGTCGAGTCCCTCAGGCTCCGTTGCTGGACAAGGAGCCTGCTTAAGATTCTCTCTCCCTCACCCTCTGCCCCTCCCAGCTCATGCGCGCTCTCTCTCTGTCTTTTTTTTTTTTTAAGATTTTATTTATTTATTTGACAGAGAGAGAGACAGCAAGAGAGGGAACACAAGCAGGGGGAATGAGAGAGGGAGAAGCAGGCTTCCCGCTGAGCAGGCAGCCCAGGGTGGGGCTTGATCCTAGGATCCTGGGATCATGACCTGAGCCGAAGGCAGACGCTTAAAGACTGAACCACCCAGGCGCCCCTCTCTCTCTCTCTCTCTCTCTCTCAAAAAAAAAGTAAAATTTAAAAAAAATCAAAGGCAATAAAATCTCAATTTCCTGAATTTTGTAATATATGATCATTATATAAGATATTACCATTGGGGGAAACTGGGTGATAGATACACAGAACCTCCCTGTTATATTTTGTAATTTCTAGTGAATGTATTACTATTTAAAAATAGAAAGGTTTTTTTTTACAATACTCAAAATTCATCACTTCCTAATTATTTTACTCCAGTTTGCAGTTATCTATATTCCTGATAATATTTATATGTATTGTACTTATATGGTGGAAACATTATATAATATTGTGCTACTGCACATCTCCTCTCAACTCCACTTTGAGTTGGCAGCTTGAAATTGGCCCTGGCAGGAGTATTTATGCCGTGGAAATCAGCCAACACTACAAATCAAGGCTCCCCCCTAACGACCCCCAGCCAGCTGTTAAGCCTTTACCAAGCAGCCTGAGGTCTAGGTGTCCTCAGGATTAAAATTAGGTTAATTTTAACCTGAAGTCCTGTGCATAAGAGAGGACTAGACAAATAAGGGGGCTAACTGACCTTGGGCAGTTGCTTAGAAACTTCAGAACTGGGGAAGTACAGCCAAGGAGTGTCCTCCTATACTGTGTCTCCATAGGAGGCTATGACAGTTACTTTTATTTGTCAATTTGGCTGAGCTAAGGGATACCCAGAGAGTTGATCAGACATTATTTCTGGGTGCATCTGTGAGGCTGTTTCAGGAAGAGATTAGCATTTACATCAGTAGACTGAGTAAAGAAGATCCACCTTGGCAAATGTGGGCGGGTATCATTTCAATTCTTTTTGAGAATTTTCTCTCTCTCTCACTCAGTCTCTCTCTCATTTGGGGCCAGGACATCTATCTTCTGCCCGTGGATATCTGATGTCGGAACTCCTGGTTCTCCATCCTTCTCTCTGGAATTTACACCAGCAGCCCCGTGATTCTGAGGCCTTGAACTGAATTATAGAAACAGCCTTCCTGGTTCTCCAGCTTGCAGATGACAGATATTGGGACTTCTCAGCCTCCATAACCACAGTGAGCCAATTCCTATTATCAGTCTCCTCATCTTTATCTAAATCTGTATCTATATCTATTTATATGTATCTTTATTCTGTTGGCTCTATTTCCCTGGAAAACTCTTACAAATACAGAGGCAAAGGAGGAACACCCGACCTGTAGGTTTGTTTTGAGAAGTATATGGTGATTGAGTGTGGTTTTTTTTAATTGAAATATGATTGACATAAATATGAGTTTCAAGAGTACAACATAGTGGGGTGCTTGGCTGGCTCAGTCGGTAGAGCATGCGACTCTTGAAATCAAGGTTGTGAGTTTGAGCCCCACATTGGGGGTGGATCATACTGGAGAAGAAAAGGAGTATGACATAGTGATTTGACAATTATATACGTTAGGAAATGCTCACCACAATAATCGCTGTCACTATGCGTCACCATGCAAAGTTGCTACATTATTATTGACTATATTCCCTATGTGTACTTTTCATTCCTGTGACTCATTTATTTTATAACTGGAAATTTGTACCACTTAATCCCCTTCCCCTATTTCACCCATCTCCCCACCCCATCCCCTCTAGCAGCCACCAGTTTAGTCTCTGTATTTATCAGTCTATTTCTCTTTTTTTGTTGTTTGTTCATTTGTTTTTAGATTCCACACATAAATGAAATCATACGGTATTTGTCTTTATTTGACTGGCTTATTTCGCTTAGCATTGTACTCTCTAGGTCCATCCATACTGTTGCAAATGGCAAGATTTCATTCTTTTTTCTAGCTGAGTGATATTCCATCATATATATATAAAACACATCTTCTTTAGCCATTCATCTAATCAATGGACTACTTAGATTCTACATTTTGGCTGTTATATATAATGCTGCAGTGAACATAGAAGTGCGTATGTCTTTTTGAATTAGTGTTTTCATTTTCTTGGGGTAAATACCCAGAAGTGGAATTACTGGATGGTTTGGAAATTCTATTTATAATTTTTTTTAGAACCTTCATACTGTTTTTCATAGTAGCGGCACCAATTTATATTTCTATCAACAATGCACAAGAATTTCTTTTCTCCACATCTTCATCATTTCTTGTTGTCATTTGTTATTTCTTGTCTTTTTGATACCAGCCCTTCTGACTGGTGTGAGGTGAGATGTCATTGTGGTTTTGATTTACATTCCCCTGATGGGTAACGATGTTGAGCATCTTTTCATGTGACTGTTGGCCATCTGTATGTCTTCTTTAGAAAAATGTCTATTTAGGTCCTCTGACCATTTTTTAATCATATTGTTCGCTTTTTATAGTGTTGAATTTTATGAGTTCTTTATATATTTTTGATGTTAACCCCTTATTGGATATATCATTTATAAACATCTCCCATTCTGTAGATTGCCCTTCCATTTTCATTCAAAGGCAGTCATTGCCCTTGATGGTTTCCTTCACTTTGTGAAAGTTTTTTATTGTAGTCCCAATAGTTTATTCTTGTTTTCATTTCCCTTGCCTGAGGAGACATATCTGGAAAAATATTGCTAAGACCAACATCCAAGAGTTTACTGCCTATGTTTTCTTCAGGGGTTTTATGGTTTCAGGTCTTATATTTAAACATTTAATCCCTTTTGAGTTTATTTTTGTATGTGGTGCAAGAAAGTGTCCAGCCTCATTCTTTTGCATGTAGTTGTGAATCTAGGTTTTCTTGACAGTGGGTTTTCTCCAGTTTGGGGCTCTCTACCCAAGGACTCATGCACTCCCTGTCTCCTGAGCGGAGCTGAAGCAGTGTGGGGTCTGGCTCTCCCCCATCTCCTGCTCTTGGGGTAGAAAAATCTTTCCTAAATCTGTGGCTATGATAGGGTCTGTGGACACTTTTGAGTTTTTAAAATGGGAGACCCAGGAAAAACGTGGCTCTGAACAGGTATTATTTCTCAAATTCTAAAGAAAGCATACTCCTTACATGACAGCCAGCTGAAACCATGGCTATAGAAGGAACCCCAGCCCCACTCAAGCATCCGTCCCTGGCTAAAACCAAATTTAAAAAGAAATTTGAGAGGATAAGTTTGGGGCCTGAGAAATTTTTAACTTCAGACTTTCAGCTCAAAAGAACAAGAAATTTTGATTTGGGATTTTAATTCCTTTGTACCTAATTATCTCTGGTTCACAAAATTTGCAAAAAGATTTTATCTTTAGACTTTATTTTTTTTCTGGGAATTTGATAATGAGAGAAGATTTACATTCACATTTGATGAAATTCCATATTTTGTTTTTATTATTTAATTATTATATATTAATATATTCATTCAGTCTCATGTGGAACCTCTGATACACTCTGTTGGGCATGGTGACTGTACATAGTTTAGAATGGGAAGTGGGGGATTAGTTTTCAGCCTTTGAAATGCAGTCTTTAGTATTAACTAATAAGTGTACTTTCTCACCCATTTTCTATCCTTCTTGGGTCAAAATCTAAACTCCCACCAACAGTCCCAGAATGATGCCCAGAAGAGAAGTGGGTGTTTTGGGAGGAGCAGTTTTATGAGGGGTACTAAACAGAACAGCCAGTGGTTGACCACAGGCTTAGTAGCTAAATAAATGGGTTAAAGAACAAAGACCTGGGCAATGTAGGAATGGAACTCCTTTCTTCTTCTCCTGGCTTCCTTGAGGAAGGCTTTTTCCTAAGCACCCTCTCCCCTTTTTCCCCACTCCATCTCAAGAGGGGTGGGTGATTTATCTGTTTGGTAAATCTCTGAAGAAGAACCACTAATGCAAATTCTTGCTCTGCTGTTCTTCCTCTTAGAAGCCAGCTGCCCTCTAGAAGCTCATATCCCCTGCTACTCCCCCAGTTCCTTTACCCCTCCTGGGTTAAATCTGTTTAATTGTGGGATGAGTATTAGTAAGAACACATGGCTACAGACCTAGGGCCATATTCTTCAACCTCATCTCTACCAATAATAAGATGTAATCATAATGCAGATTTCTATTTTTACTCTTTGTTTTATTTTCTCAGTTTGTCCGTAACTCAAGCAAGGAAGAGAGGTACTATTTATTGGGGGTCCTCTTGGGGACTCCAACAGAGGGTAATTAATATTTTTCCAAAGAGAAATGCTATTCATTGCAATTCCAGAAGAGTAAATAGCAAAACCTCTTTTTTATTTTATTTTAATTCCAGTATAGTTAAAATACACTGATATACTACTTACAAGTATACAGTTAAGTTATTCAACATTCTATACATTACTCAGTGCTCATCATGATTAAGTGTACTCTTAAACAAAACCTTTTACAGACTCCTAAACACACCAAATAGCTGAATCTTGAAGACATGCAATATCTCATTAAGAATTATATCCTCCTTTTAGTAAACATGAGCATTCTGATAGCCATCTTTCCCTGAATCACTTATAGCCACATTCAATGGAATATAAATAGTAGAAACAGAAAAATACATACTATATGCTGAATTTACCAATTATTTCCATCAGAAAGAGAGTTCATTCCTTTGTTTTCTGCCTAACAGTAGTTAAAAGCAAACAAATAATTGAATGAGACATTTCCTGAACTCAGAAAGGGAAATCAGTTCAACTCCTTTTATTATAGCAGATAAAGAAAAAAAAAAAATCAGAGCATTAACAAAAATCCAGAGAAAGACCTCTTGAAATAGAACCTAATTAATTTTCTTTAATAACTGTAAAATGTTTTACTGAAGGACAAAATGTAGTCTTAGCAAAGTTTAATGCTCTCCTGAACCCATCCTGTGCTATGTGGCCAAATAGAAGTATCTAATGTGATGTGACAAAAATAAAATTTAAAAAGGATAAAACTATTGCTCTCAAGAGTAAGATTCTTATCATTCTTCTAGCTAGTGATCACCTTTGGGCTCTATTATTTTCAGGAACTGTTGATGCTATTCACAGCAGGACAGATACATCAAAAAAGAGGAAATAAGAGAAAGAATAGTGACAAAATAAATTTTGTAATATGTCATCAAAAATACTGGAAGGAAGGTGCTTGGCTGTCTTGGTCAGTGGAGCAAGTGACTCTTGATCTTGAAGTTGTAAGTTTGAGCCCCATGTTGCATATAGAGATGACTTAAAAATAAATATCTTTAAAAAAAAAAATACTAGGAGGAATTGTGAATCATTTAGCAATTATTCCTGTTTTATTTTCTTTAAGATTTTTTAAATTGATTTCATTTTAGGGAGAGAGAGAAAGCCGGGGGAGGGGGAGAGGGAGAGGGAGAGAATCTCAAGCAAGCTCCCCGCTCCATCCCACTCCTTCCCCACTGAGCACAGAGACTGACGCAAGACTCGATCTCACGACCCTGAGATCATGACCTGAGCCAAAACCAAGAGTCAGATGCTTAACTGACTACCCAGCTACACCCAAATCATTCCTGTTTTAAAGTGGCACATTCAGAGCAAGAATGAAGATAAAGGAGGAGAGTATTATAGACCTCAATTGCCATTACAGTGGTTCCAAAGTACTTCTGATCATTAGAAATCATTTATTTTTATTGAAGAATAAGAATTCTAACTGGCTTCTTTGCAGAAAATGACAAGCTAATTCAAAAATTCATGTGGACATATGGATCAAAAAAGAAATCTCAAGAAAATTTTTTAAATATTTTGAACTAAGTGAAAATATAAAATTTGTGGGATACAGCTAAAACAATGCTTAGAGGGAAATTTATAGCATTGAATGTATGTATTAGAAGAGAAAGATCTAAAATCATTAATTTAAGCTTCCACCTAAAACTGGAAAAAGAAGAGCAAATTAAATTCAAAGTAAGCAGAAGTAAAGAAATAAAAATTAGAGAAGAAATTAATAAATTGAAAACTTCTCCAGTGAAAACTGAAAATCAATGAAATGAAAAACTGATTCTCTGAAAAGATCACTAAAACCAAAAAAGCTTCTAGCCAAGCTATCCAAAAAAAGAGAGAAAACACAAGTTACAAATATCAGAAGTGAAAGAGGGAACATCACTACAGACCCCATAAATATCAAAAGGATTATAAAGGAATACTATCTCTGAACAACTCTCTGCTCAAGAATTTGATAACCTAGATAGAACGGACCAATTTTTTCAAAGAGACGATCTGCCAAAACTCATACTAGAAGAAATAGACAACCTGAATAGGCCTACATATATTAAAGAAATGTAATTAATAAATAGTAACCTTCCAAAAGAAAAAGCACCAGGCTCAGATGGGTTTGCTGGTGAATTCTAAACATTTAAGGAAGAAATTTTTTCATACTCTGCAATCTCTTTCAGAAGACAGAAGCAGAGGGGATTCTTCCTAACTCATTCTGTGCCTCTCCTGCTGCTCATGCTCTCTTGTGCGCACACTCTCTCTCTCAAATAAATAAAATTAAAAAAAAAAAAAAGCTACAGTAATGAAGACAGTCTGGTATTGGCATAAGGATAAATATATAGATCAGTGGAATAGAACTGAGAGCCCAGAAACAAGTCATCACATTTATAGTTAGTTGATTTTTTAATGAGGGTGCCAAGACCATTAAATGGGAAAGCAAATGGTAGTGGGACAACTGAAGAGCCACAGTCAAAACAATGAAGTTGTCTAATCTCTTATGAGGAAGTTAGAAAGTGTTCATTTTGCCTGGCAGTTTCTCTTTATACAGTTCTCAGAATGGTCCCAAATGTACCATTTAGGGTCTCTTGGGATCTTCCGATATAATTTCAGAGAAAGAAATGCAAGAGGTGCCTGGAAGATTAGGCATGAGAGCTTTCCTTTTCTTTTTAAAGAGTGAGGCATAGGAATAGCTGCAGTATATAAGAGAAATAATTGAGAAGATTCTTTAAGCAACCAATATGTTTTATACAAGAGGAGAGGCTGCTTCAGCTGACAAGAAAGGCTCAGTAGATTGGGAATTTGGGATGCTCTGAGTCGGCCAAATTGTCCAATATAACTCATTCTAAGTATTCAGATACCATTCTTTGCTTATCGATATTCTAACTTCCTCATAAGAGATTAGACAAAGCTATGAATTAAAGTAATAAAATTTCGCAATCTTAAGAATCAAATGTTGTTTGGCTTACAACTGTTTCACTTCTTCAGCTGAAAGAGCTTACATCTTGAAAAAAATCTCTCATAAATTTTTATAGCATAGTCGTAGACAACCCTTGGGTTTCAATTGATAACTTGAACTAATAATTTAGAAATCAGCTCAGGGTGCCTGGGTGGCTCAGTAGGTTGAGTGTCTGACTCTTGGTTTCAGTTTGGGTCATGATGTCGGGGTCGTGGGATCAAGCCCCACCTCAGGCTTCCTGCTCAGTGGGGAGTCTGCTTGGAATTCTCTCTCTCTCTCTCTCTCTCTCTCTCTCTCTCTCTCTCTCCCTCTGCCCTTCCTCCCACCCCCACATGTGTGCTTTCTCTATAAAACTTTAAAAATAAAAAGAAAGAAATCTTAGCTTGTCAAAAAAAGGAGAAAAAGAAGAAATCTGACCTTGTCATTCATTTTTTAAGTTGTTCAGCAATTAGAAGTAATCACAACACCTCCATGATCCTTGAGTTCTGCCTATCTTTCATACTGTCCTATGGCTGTAGCAGTGGGAAACCCAAAGCCTTTCCTTCAATTGGCATATCAGTACAAGTGAGCCATGGAATGACTTAATTAGCTACTTTGCTACTATTTACCATGGGCTATGAAAATACAGCTTCTTAATAGTCACTGGATTCTCAAACCAGGCCAAATAACTATCTCAGCTCCCCACCACTCCACCCCCCCTTCCCCTGAGAATCTATTGTCTATAACCATTCCTCGTAAAAATTTCTCCAGGTGTACATTTCTTGAAACAGTATTTAGTGGCTAGTCACAGATTAACTGGGAAAATAGGCAGGAATAAAGCAAAGCTATACAGATAACACCACGCTCAAAAACAGACTGAGAGAGCTAGTCCAGCAGGGCACTGCTACCCGTCACTGAACACAGGAACCACAGCCAGCACCGTTGGCACCCCTGGCATTCGATACTGGATCCAACAACAGGCAACACAGGCACTCTTGTGCCTGCCAACTGGATGCTGCTGCCACTGATACCAGAAAAAAAGTCTCCACTGTCCTTGTTTCTTTGTGTCATTAGTTTCAAATTCAAAATCCCAGATGAGTGTATCTGATTGGCAGAGCCTAAATCAAGGGCCCACATCCCAGCTGGCAGAGGAGCTAGGATACTAGATGTCTGTTCATTTCAGTTTCTCTTTGGGGAGGCAAGGAATCCCTCAAACGTGAAGAGCATTCAAATGCTGGACACCAATAATTACAAGTGTCCATTACACATATAATACTCTGAGCAAATGCTACTTAATAACCCTGCAGTGGCCTCCAAGTGTTGAAGTGAAAGGAAGAGTCACATGTCTTTTGCTTTAAATCCGAAGACAGAAATGATTAAGTTTGGTGAGGGAGGCATGTCAAAAGCCAAGACAGATTGACAGGCAGGCCTCTTGCACCAGTCAGCCAAGTTGTAAATGCAAAGGAAAAGTTCTTAAAGGAAATTGAAAGTGCTACTCTAGTGAATACACAAATGATAAAAAAAAAAAAAAGCAAAGAGCATTACCACTGATATGGGTAAGTTTTAATGGTCTGGAGAGATCAAACCAGCCACACCAATCCCGAAAGCCAAAGCTTAATCCAGAGCAAGGACCTAATTCTCTTCAATTCTATGAAGGCTGAGAGAAGTAAGGAGGGTCCAGAAGTTTAGAGCTAGCAGAGGTTGGTTCATGAGATTAAAGAAGGCTTCTCCGTAACATAAAATTGCAAGGGGAAGAAGCAAGTGCTAATGTAGAAGCTGAAGCCAATTTTGCAGAAGGTCTAAGTGAAGATAATGAAGATGGCTACACCAAACAACAGATTTTCAACATAGACAAAGAGTCTTCTATTGGAAAAAGATGGTAAGACTTTCATAGCTAGAGAGGTCACTGCCTGGCTTCAAAGCCTCAAAGGACGGGCTGACTCTTATTAGGGGCTAATGCAGCTGGAAACTTGAATTTGAAGCCAATGCTCATTTACCATTTTGAAATGCCTAGGACCCTTAAGAATTATGCTAAATCTACTCTGCCTTTGCTTTATAAATGGGACAAAGCCTGGATGACAGCACATCTGTTTACAACATGTTTACAACAGTATTTACTGAGTATTTTAAGCCTACTATTTAGATCTGCTTAGGGGGGAAAAAGGTCCTTTAAAAATATTACTGCTCATTGACAATGTACCTGGTCACCCAAGAGCTCTGAAGATGTACAATGAGATTAATGTTGTTTTCATGCCTGCTAAGACAAGATCTATTCTGCAGTCCATGGATCAAGGAGTCATTCTGACTTTCATGTCTTACTCTTTAAGAAATACATTTCCTGGGGCACCTGGGTGGCTCAGCCGGTTAAGTGTCCAACTCTTGATTGCAGCTCAGGTCATGACCTCAGGGTCGTGAGATGGGGCCCCAAGTCAGGTTCCGTGCTGGGTGTGAAGCCTGCTTAGGATTCTCTCTCCCTCTCCCTCTGCACCCCCCCCAGTGGGTGCACCCACTTTCTCTCTTTTTAAAATAAATCTCTGAAAAGACAAGACAAGGCAGAAAGACAGAAAGCCATTTCCTGAGGCTACAGCTGCCATAGAGAGGGTTCCTCTGATGGATCTGGGCAACGTAAATTGGAAACTTTCTAGAAAGGATTCATCATTCCAGATACCCTAAGAACCTTCGTGATTCATGGAGGAGGTCAAAATATCAACATCAACAGAAGTTTGCTAGAAGTGGAGGCACTTGGGTGGCTCAGTCGGTTAAACGTCTGAATTTGGCTCAGGTCAGGATCTCAGGGTCCTGAGATGCAGTCCCCTATCAAGCTCCCTGCTCAGTGGGGAGTCTCCTTGTCCCTCTGCCCCTCCTTCCCCCAGCTCGTGATCTCTTTCTAGTAAGTCAGTAAAATTGTAAAAAAAAAAAAAAGTTTGGAAGTTGACTCCAGCTTTCATGGATGACTACAAGGGGTTAAAGAGTTCAGTGGAATAAATAACTGCAGATGTGGTGGAAATAGCAAGAGAATTAGAATTAGAACTGGAGCCTGAGATGTGACCAAACTGCGGCAATCTCATAAAATTTTCATGGATAAGGAGTTGCTTCTTAAGGGTGAGCAAAGTGCTTTCTTGTGATAGAATCTGCTCCTGGTGAAGATGCTGTGAAGATTGTTGAAATGACAACAAAAGATTTAGAGTATTACTTAGTCGATCAAACAGTGGCAGGGTTTGAGAAAATTGAATCCAATTTTGTTTTTTTGTTTTTTAAGATTTTATTTATTTGACAGAGAGACACTGAGAAAGGGAACACAAGCAGGGGGAGTGGGAGAGGGAGAAGCAGGCTCCCCACTGAGCAGGGATCCCCGATGCGGGGGATCCCAGAACCCTGGGATCATGACCTGAGCCAAAGGCAGACACTTAACCGACTGAGCCACCCAGGCACCCTTTGAATCCAATTTTGAACGAAGTTCTGCTGTGGGTCAAGTGCTGTCAGTATTGTATGCCCCAGAGAAATCATTCATGAAATGATGAGTCCGTCAGTGAAACAAATTTCATTGCTGTCTTAAAGAAATTGCTACAGCAACCCCAACCTTATCAGTCAGCAGCCATCAACATCAAGGCAAGACCCTCTGTCAGCAAAGATCGTCTCCCTGGAAGCTCAGGAGATAGCATTTTTTTAGAAATAAGGTATTTTTTAGGAGCGCCTGGGTGGCTCAGATGGTTAAGCGTCTGCCTTTGGCTCAGGTCGTGATCCCAGGGTCCTGGGATCGAGCCCCACATTGGGCTCCCTGCTTGGCGGGGAACCTGCTTCTCCCTCTCCCTCTACTGTTCCCCCTGCTTGTGCTCTCTCGCTCTATCAAATAAATAAATAAAATCTTTAATAAAAAAATAGAAATAAAGTATTTTTTAAAGTACGTACATTGTTTTTTTATACATGATGTTATTGCATACTTAACAGACTATAGTATAAATATAATTTTTATATGCACTGGGCACCAAAAAATTCATCTGACTTAACTTTTTTGATATTCACTTTAGTGTAGTGGTCTAGAAGAGAACCTGCAATGTCCCTAAGGTATGCCAGTATAGGCAAAAATCTCTTTACTAAATGATCCTGTATATCACAGAAAGCAATTCAAGAAGCAATTACTATGATCTGCTGGTGTTCTCAAATAGTTTGCTTTCCAGACTAATGAAAGGACTGATATGCAAAGTTTGAATAAACTCTTGGCATACTTGCAGTACGTATTTGAGAACAGCTTAATCACTATTCTATTTAAGTAAAACCCATGCTATAAGAAAAGGGCTTTTTAAAATTTAATTAC